CCAAAAGTCTGAAAGGTTGGGTTCCTTTTGTCTGGGGCTTTTTCTCCCCTACAGTATGTAGGAATTGCCTGGGGTAATATCTAAATTACTGTTACGTTTTGAGGTTTAGGGGCTTTTGTGACTTTTATTTATGGTTCAAAAGGTTAAAGTGGGGCTTCTGTGTGGACGTGGTGGGAACATATCCTAGGAAAAGACATGAATTCTTTTCGGGCCAGCCAACAATCCTAAACCTAGTTAGTTGCGACTTTCTGAAATAAAGGACTAGAAGCCACAGGAAGGAAGGTGTGTCCTTCTCTGTCCTGGGCTTTGCCGCGCCCAGCCAGCAGTTAACCCAGTGCAGACACACCTCTTAGAAAGTCTGATTAGAAAGTCCTAGGACCATTTGAAGGTGAGCTGAAGTTGACCTCTGGAAAATCTGGGCTTGCGTGGAGGAGGATGTCCTCCTGGTGTGCCATGCTGTCAGTGAAGGGCTTTCCTGTCACACCTGCGGGGCCAACTGTGCCAGTGTGTGGGAAGAGGTGGACACAAGAGCGAGGCACCCCGTTCTGGGCTGTTCCAAGAGGTTCAGGCCTTCACAAACGCGGCTTTGACTCAGTTTTTTGCTGAACTAGCTGGGCCGTTTCCTGTGCCGCTTCACTGTGAGCCACTTGAGCCCCCGGAGCGGGGGCTGCCAGCGCTTACGAGCACCGTGGCCACCAGGGAGATCTATTTTCAGCGCCCCCTTACAATGCCCTTCTCATTTCCAAGGCGAAAATGAGCAAGTCAGTCTTGCCTCGGCCACTTGTCAGCCTGATGACAATTTTGACTTTGACTTGGGTGCTCCTCCCCGCCCCCCCCCCCCTCCACAAATCCCTAGCTCAGCAAATATTTGAACCTGCCCAAGTTAATCATGAAGCCGCGATCTTTATCTGAGCGAGACGTGCGAGCGCCCGCCAGGGCTCCTTTCTTCCCCGGTGCAGTAGCGCGACCCAGGGGGGCTCTGCTCGCCGAGCCGGGGACGTGCTGCCGGGGCGGGGCGCGGGGCGGAGGGACCGGCGGCAGCCTAGCCTGGGGGAGCCGGCGGCCGGGCTGAGAGTCGCGCGCCCCCGCCTTGCGCGCTCTCCTCCTGCTAGGCTTGCTACTGCCGGTGCCTGGCGGGTGGGGGAGCCTCGGGGGCTGGGCCCACTTGCTGGAAGAACAGCTTCTTTGGATTTTTTTTTTTTTTTTCTCTCTCGGTGGGATACTGGCAGTTCAAAGCGAAACCGCTGAAATGCATAACCTACAAAGTAAGTCGCTTTTCATTTATGCACTTCTCCGCACCGGGCTCTTTATCTGCAAGCCGTCCTCTCTAGTTTGGCTGGGGCGGGTGTGTGTGTGTGTGTGTGTGCGCGCATTGGGAGTGTGTGCGCCTGGGTGAGTGCTGCCTGGGGAGAGCAGATGGGAGATTAGGGGAGACACTCCCTTCTGTCCTCCAGGGGGGGACACTGCGGGGAAGAGATGGGGTTTTGGTTTGGAGTTGAGAAAGTAAGGGTCAGGAGATTGGGACCAAGCCAGAGCTTGCAGAGACTACGGAAAATCACCTGTCTCCCTGACCTGCCCCTTAGGTCCCCTTGCCACATGGCAGCAGCAGTCTGCAGCTAGACTGCCTGCCTGTCGGAGTACTGCACACTGTCCCTTTGGGTTGACCCATGGGTTATGCTGCCAAGGGGACTTGTCTCTTTACTTTTGGGAGAAGATTCAACATTTTTATTCAACTATTATTATTATTATTATTTTAATCTTGTCTAAGGATATACTTCACCACCACTTTTACCATTTTTATTTAAATTTTACTTTAGGTTTAAACTTCAGTTTAGATTTACTTAAACCTATAGGCAAATAGAGAAGCGTGAACTGAAAGGGATAGATAGGGTTGAGTCTGCTGTCTCCAATAATGCAGAAATGCCCTAGAGAGGGGACTCAAATGCACAGGAGCCAGGGAACAGAATGCCTTCCTCTGCTTTGAATGCTGTGTGACTCCAAATGGGATAGAAATCTAAAGGGGCTTCTGTGTCCCATAAATCTCCACACGGCTACATACCCTCCATGCCCACGAAGCCCACTCTAGTTTTTAAAATGAAGTCACATTTACACGGGAGCAGTACCCTCTATAATAATGTAAATGTCAGGAGATCCTGGCTCCCAGTGCCAGTGCACATCATGCTCCAGTTGTGGTGACAGAATTACATGCAGAATGATTTAAAGAACCAAGGTAAATCATTAGATTTGTACGGAAATTGATTTCTTTATATTGAACACTGCTAAGAAGGGGTATTGTCCCCCGAGTAAGCACTGAGCTAAAGGGGGGGGGGGGGGAGAGAGAGAGAGAGAGAGAGAGAGAGAGAGAGAGAGAGAGAGAGATTACATCACCTTCTTTAAAGCAGCTCGCAGTAAGATGGGTTCCTGAGTGAGACACTTGGCAGAGAGCACCTGAACTCTGTGTTCTGATATATGTATGGCCTCTTATTTTGGCAGAAGCACCATGCTGTCCAGTGATGTTAGGTAGAAACATTGAAACCCACCGATGTTGACCATTATGCTTATCATTTCTGCAAATAATAGGTGTCTTCATTCCTGGGCTGAGTTTTCATGATTTATTCTGTAAAGTCTTGTGTTGACCTTGGGATATTCTGGTAGAGGCATTTTGCCTGAGTCCTGTCTTTCGACTTCCCGTTTTAATGTGCTGCATTTATGACCGTGTTTAGGAACTGTGGAAGACTGTCTTAAATATCCAGAGCGCTCGATCCTTTCTGCTTCTAACACACATGGGCGATCTCTAAGGACTATAAAATAGAGCTTAGGGGTAGTAGTCCCGATGCCTTTGTAAGGTTTTTAGACCACCGAATAGCCAGGCTATCTCTAAGCCCAGATGCACTGAGGGACAGAGCTAGAAGCTGCAGTTTATCAGCTGTTGTCAATCTGCCAACAGCGGAATGTACCACGCTGCTGCAAGGAGTAATAAAAAGGGAATTAGAGACCTCACTGCTGGAGGAGAGCAGGCAAATTAAACACCTTTCGAAAGGATGAGCATGTAGACCTCGCAGCTGTGTGGCATGTAGGTTCTCGGAGAGAGGCTGGGGCTGTGTGAGGCTGGCATCCAGGAGAACTGATGAAGCAGGAGTGGTCTGGTGACATTTTTCTGACTTGATTGGCTGGGGCGTGTGATGTAATAGGTTACAGTGCAGCCCCGTATAGGTTTTAAAATGAATTCCAAGACACCATTACAAAGAAAGCCGGACTCTTTTCTTATAACTGGGCACAGCCGAGGAAACTCTCGCACAAATGTACACCACGGTTTGGACTATGGAAGACCTGGACTTAGAGTGTGCCAAGACAGATATAAACTGTGGCACGGACTTGATGTTTTATATAGAAATGGATCCACCAGGTAATACTGCAGTATTAATGGAGAGAGCTAGTTAATTTTGTGACTTTAAAAAAATCTTTTTTTTGGAAAGCTGCTGTTAACAGATCCTCTCGAGGCTGCTATTTTTACTGATTTGTTTCACGGTTTAAAATTAGTCTGATTAGAACTTTAAAATTAAACAGATTGTTTGACTGTAGCAGCAAGCAGCTCGGGCTGTATTTGATACTTGCTGGGTCTTGCTGAATGGATGGGAACTAGATTCCACTTTTCCGCTGCCGGCGTCTTTTGTTAATTATGATCCTTGGCAACTTGGGCTATATTGTTGTATATTGTTACTTTAATTAAGGGAATGTGTCCTTTGTGCTGTTTTCTCTGCTGGCTGTGGACTCTGGCAGTGTGGTACTTTGCTGGGATAATGCCGGGTGCTTTAGAAAGCATGTGAGATGTAGCGGTGACTCAAACTCACGTCTGATGACCTGAAACTCTTCGTAAATCAGATGTGGGGACTGGCTTGCTCTCTCCTGCTGAGATACTACAATGGAAAAAGAAGTTGGCTTTCTGTGCCTTTGGAAAAGTCTTGCTAGACACCTGAAATCATCTGGAGCATAAATTAAAGCACTCAGTGCTTTCAGAGTTAATGGTTTCAGATTTGGCTAAAAATCCTAGGCTTCTTTGGTTATTCCCTCTGGGGTCAGCCCTCCCTGTAATGAGGAAACTCAGAAATGCTGAGGGCTTCTTGTCACTTTTTTTTTTTTTGGTCACTGTATACATACTGATTTGACATTGAAGAAGGGGACAGGGGTGTTAATCAGACCTAACATGTAGAGCACCGTGTCCCCCAGCAGAATAGTAACATGAAGACTAAGGAGATTTAGGTCACAGATGAGTTTCCTAAAGTGGCGTTGGCAGAGCTGTGCCTGAAACACTAACATAGAGAAACCCAGTTCTTAAAGCATACTGCTGTAAATGAGGACTTTGAAAAATGTGATTACTGCGCTCTTGCAGGACAGAGCAACCAAATTTGTCTTTCATAATTAAAGAAGAGAAAAAAAAAATGAAAGGCAACTCCTGTTATTTCTGCTGCTCAGATGTTCCTAGTTACTTACTTTAGCTGGAGCTGCCTGGGCGCACAACTTTCATACAGCTACAGTCTAGAGGGAGAAACGTTGACTCTGGGCTGGCCTTGAGATTTTCTCCCATAGTCAGCCCCATTTATTTCTTAACCTCTAGGTATGTCTGTCTGTCGTGTCATCCTTTCCCTCCCCTCCTACTTTTCTCCTGTTCAGTTTTTGTTTTAACCATATTCTGAGATGTCTTTTGAAAACAAGTATCTGCCGTGGTACATAGAATTGTGAATTCCTGGTGTCCACTCCCCCTCCTTCCTTCTCCCCCCACCCCCACCGCTCCTCCATTGTAAATGTCTTAGTAAATTCAATTGCCTTTGAACTGAAAATAGGATTTTTATGCATTTTTTAATGAAAATAAAATTGGCTCCCTTTGCCCTTTCTCTCCGTTGTGATGAAATGTTGTTCATCTGAAATGATAAGAGCCTAATTTTAAATGTGCACTTGGAGTTAGGACGGCAGACAACTTCTGTTTCCTCCTTTGCCTGCAGCACTGCCTCCGAAGCCACCCAAGCCCGCCACTGTAGCCAACAACGGCATGAACAACAATATGTCCTTACAGGATGCCGAATGGTACTGGGGAGATATCTCGAGGTAAGGCCGGCCATGGGGCTCTGCGTGTCCACCAGCTGCAGGGAGGTTTCCAGGAAGAACAGAAAGCACCAGCTTGCTGAGTCCCATTTTTAGGATGTCATCCAACAGAAGCATGAAGCACAGTTGGTTCTCTTCCAAAGACAGCCAGAAAAGTCACTGAGCGCTGGAGCGCCGTGGGTGCTGGGTGACACAGGAAATGAAAGACCCAGGAAGCTTCCCAACAGACAGACAGAGATGTCAGGGGTGCACCAGGGTGATAGAGCACTGCCTGAGCTCTCTCTAGTAAGCGGGGACTTTAGGAATTCAGGTTATTGCTCTCCTTGCACACCCTTTTAGATTTTAGAGTGTTAGTGAGTGGGCTGGAAGAGCCTCTGTGGATTATGACTTTCTGCGCCAGTTTGTCAGAAACTGGTTGAAAAGGAAAAAAAAAAAATAACAACTTTGTATTATAGATATACCAATAGTGTAAATGGGTGTGTGCATACATAAGTACATGTACCGTGCACTTATTTTTTTTTTTTTGCAAGCAAAGAGAAATTATTAGTTACCTTTGAAAATGTGCAATACTGACATTTGACTCTACAAGGACAGGAGGATGTAAAGATATGGAACTGCTGGATTTTTTTTTGCTCTGTGTCTTAAAGAATAGTGTGTGTTCAGGCTAAGGGTCTGGTCCAGTGGTCTAGCAATCCTGAGTGCAGGAGGGAAAATGGTGTGTGTGTCTGTCTGTCTGTCTGTGCAAGAGTATGGTTACTCAAAGTTGAAGAGTAAGCATGGTCTTATATTGTGTTGATTTCAGGGAAGAAGTGAATGAAAAACTCCGAGATACAGCTGATGGGACCTTTTTGGTACGAGACGCATCCACTAAAATGCACGGCGATTATACTCTTACACTAAGGTGAGCCAGGAAGTCAGCTGTCATGGGGATGTCTGGGTTGTCATGAAAACATTTCTAATCTTCAATCAGCCCATAAAGTAATGGGTTTCATGATAGAACTTTCAAACCATACTTGTTCCCCTCCCCCACTTCCTTCTCCTGTCTCCCTCTTCCCCAAGAGCCCCCCACTACTGCATCAGACCACTTTAATAACCGTTCTTTTTATATTGTATTTACAGGAAAGGAGGAAATAACAAATTAATCAAAATATTTCACCGAGATGGAAAATATGGCTTCTCTGATCCATTAACTTTCAACTCTGTGGTTGAACTGATAAACCACTACCGGAATGAGTCCCTAGCTCAGTATAACCCCAAGCTGGATGTGAAGTTACTCTACCCAGTGTCCAAATACCAGCAGGTAATTTCTCAGAACTCCTCACACTGCAGTAACACAGGGCCGAGCCACTCTCCAATGTAGAAAAGGATTTGACAACATAGAAAGTCAGCTTTTGACAAACTCTACCCCATGACTGGAATTTCACAATGGCTGAGTCAGATAACACGTTGACTATTTCATTAAGGATTGTTATTTGAATAAATACCTTACCAAATGAGTTGTGTTTTCCTCCTTGTATGTCCTTCCAGGATCAAGTTGTCAAAGAAGATAATATTGAAGCTGTAGGGAAGAAATTACATGAATATAATACTCAATTTCAAGAAAAAAGTCGGGAATATGATAGATTATATGAGGAATACACCCGTACTTCCCAGGTGAGTTTAAGATATTTTGGACTAACACATGTTATAATCAGATTCAAAAGAAGAATTGTCTAACCCTTTCCAGGGTAGCCATGCTTATAAGAATCCTACATTAAGCTTGCTTCTAACTGGCAGGGTCATTGTGAGCTTTCAGCTGATGCAATGTAATTCCTGGCTGGAGACTTCTGTCCAGGCTAGACATTAATAATAACTGCTAATGCCAGTTTGTCCAAGCTCTGGGATGGAAATTTCATATCCATCCCCCTTGCTGTGAGGAGAAGTGGCTGTGTTCACTGTGCTGATTGCCAAAGGAGAAAGCAGCATGGATATAAAATAAAATTGCCTTTTAAAAGACTGACCAGTTTGTGTTTACATATTTAGGAACACACACACACACACACACAAAATAGTTAGTGAAGAAGAGGACATGAATTTGAAATAGAGCAAGAAGGGCTATATAGGAGGATTTAGAGGGAGGAAATAATACAATTATACTGTAATCTCAAAAAAAAATAAAAGAAATAATTTCTAAAAGTGAAGGTAGACAGAAAATTCTCCACAAGAAATGTCTGTTTCCAGATCCTTTTGACTAGAGGTTGTGAATTCCTATCCAGCCCTGCTAACGGAGTACACACCGGCTTTCCCTATCTCCTGGTCCTGTATGGAGGATGTACAGTGCAGACTTCTCCCCACCCCTACCCCCTTGCTACTGTAGTCTAAGCAATACCACACAGCTGTTTGCATAGCATTGCTGTTGTATCTGGCTTAAGCAATTTAGAGATGATTTGAAGTTGATGAGGAAAAATTGCGCAGGCCCCGTGTGGCCATTACATCATCTCAATAAGGAACTTCAGTATCTGGCTGTTAGTGGCCAGTGGGGCTCCTGTGACTAAGCTTACGGTGCCCATGGATGACTGTGCCGACTAGCAGCACGCTTGCATTACGTCACGAGCTAGCCTGTCTCTCACAGGAAGAAGTCGTATTCTGACAGGGATGACATTGTCTTCTGAAACTTGTGTTGCAGGAAATTCAAATGAAAAGAACAGCTATTGAAGCATTTAATGAAACCATAAAAATATTTGAAGAACAGTGCCAAACCCAGGAGCGGTACAGCAAAGAATACATAGAAAAGTTTAAACGTGAAGGCAACGAGAAAGAAATTCAAAGGTAGATGAGCCATGAGCATCCCAATACCCCTGTGACAGAAGTATCAAAAATTGTTTAAGATTGGTCACTGATGCTCTGCCTTCCTGTCATTTGAGCAATTTTCAAATGGAATAAACAAAGCTTAACTTTGGGGACCTGGCATGGTGTACCCAGGTACTTAGCGATATGTTTCTCCTGCCTGCAGGATTATGCATAATTACGATAAGCTAAAGTCTCGCATCAGTGAGATCATTGACAGTAGGAGGAGACTGGAGGAAGACTTGAAGAAGCAGGCAGCTGAGTATCGTGAGATTGACAAGCGCATGAACAGCATTAAGCCAGACCTCATTCAGCTGAGAAAGACAAGAGACCAATACTTGATGTAAGTGTTTGAAATAGAGCCTGAAGAACTGCCAGTGGCTGACATCAAGGAGGAGTCCTCAATGCCTTCTCTCTTTTGCAAAACTCTTTCAGGTGGCTGACGCAGAAAGGTGTTCGGCAGAAGAAGTTGAACGAGTGGTTGGGAAACGAAAACACGGAAGAGTAAGTAGCCGCAGGAGGTGGGAAGCCAGCCGGGAGTTTTGTGAACAGATTTTCACTGACCTTAGGACGTCTCTCAAGCAAAAATGTCTAAACTCAGTAACGTTAACCAGAGTTATCTTTGCAAAGGGAAAGTTGAGCCCAGGAAGACTGGAGTGGTTTTTGGTTTCATTTTGCTTTGTTTTCCCACAACTGTGTAAATTGACCCTTTGTGTCCATAATGATGTCCCTGAACATCAGAAAAATCCCCAAATATTTTTGGAACAATGAGAGACAAACAATTACATTTAGTGTATCTTGAAGGCTAAGTCTATGTGTGGTTGGAATTGAGAACTGACAGTCTTCTCAGTACTGTCCTTGTCCTTGCCCAGGCACCTAAGGGTGATGGCTGAAGTGAAAATGGAGCTAGGCATGACTTTTGCTAAGCCTTCAGCCTGGGGACTGGTGGGGAGGCGGAGTCCTCTGATGCACCTGCTTGGAAGGAGACCTTGGGGCAGGCTGGGGTTCCCACCCATTCACTCACTCACTCACAAACCTTCGCTTCTGCCCGTGTAGCCAATACTCACTGGTAGAAGATGATGAGGACTTGCCCCACCATGACGAGAAGACATGGAACGTTGGAAGTAGCAACCGAAACAAAGCCGAGAATCTATTACGAGGGAAGCGAGATGGCACTTTTCTGGTCCGGGAGAGCAGTAAGCAGGGCTGCTATGCCTGCTCTGTAGTGTAAGTAACCCCCGAAAACTAACTCATTCATTAGGTTTCACTCATTCAGTCCCTGGAGGTCAGGGTTTGAAAACATCTTAACCTCAAAGAATCACACAGTGCAGTTAGCCTAGGCCGATAACTGAACCTGTTAAGAACCTAACAGACACCTGTCACCATATGGTAGGACAATTGGGACTTGGGGTCCATTGTCGAGACAAGTTCATCTCTAGTTGTCTTGAGGTCTTCCCCGCCCCCCCATCTTAGTTATAAACAGAAATGGCCATGCCTTCCTGCTGTCCCCACCCCTCTAAAAGTCCATATAGTTAGAATACAAGGTCATTTTTATGAGACCGTCACCTAAAATAGATAAAGTAATCCTTCAGGGACTGATCAGAGCAAGAAGAGGAAGGACCCCACTGCGATCCTGCAGAGATGCGATCCTGCAGAGATACACCCCGAAGGAGACACATTTCTGTCTTGTAGCCTAGTTCCTTTTTATTTCATAATAGTTTGGGAAGTGCTTTGAAAAGTAAAACCTGAAGACTGAGCATGATGTCTGTAATCCTAGCACTCTGAGTGACTGAGATCAGCACAGGCTGTATATGGGGATCCTGAGTCAACCGAAAGAACAGTGGGTTTGGAGTCACTAGCATCCTTGGGACAGAGAAGCAAATGTCCTCTTGTGTGGAAAGACACTAAAAGTACCTTATAGTCTATGCCAATCACTGCTTCATTTAAGAACTCTTCCGCCAGGCAGTGGTGGCGCATGCCTTTAATCCCAGCACTCAGGAGGCAGAGCCAGGCGGATCTCTGTGAGTTCGAGGCCAGCCTGGTCTCCAAAGCGAGTTCCAGGAAAGGCGCAAAGCTACACAGAGAAACCCTGTCTCGAAAAACCAAAAAAAAAAAAAAGAACTTTACCTATAAGACGGACAGAGGGAGGGTTTTGAGTTAGGACGAGAGACTAGGAGAATTCCGAATAAATGCCAAGATAGATGGAGAGTTGTGATGCCGCTTCAAGGAGAGCCTGGATGGTTATAACCGGAGCAAAGCTAGCATGGGGTCCCGCAGAGACAGTAAGACCAGCACCTGGGAGGTGGGAAGCTGCCTTTTGTCACATGCTTGCCACATGTGACGTGCAGCCACACATCTGTCACACACTCGTGTCTCATATGAACCCTAATACACAGGCCACGCCTCTCCCTCCTTTAAACCATTGAACCATCAAACAGTCCACTACTGAAGCAGGCCCAAATGCTTAACCCTTGCGCGGGTGTCACTTGACCAGTAAGAGCGGCACTCATAGTTCACCGTGGCTCCCCGGGAGTGACAACACAGACCCATTCACTGTGCCCTGCCACGATGATGGCTTTGTTAAAAAATACCCTGCGGCATTCATTCCGTCTGTCTGAGACCAGCTCAAAAGACTTTCTTTTTTTTTTTTTTGGTTCCCTCTCCAGGGTAGATGGCGAAGTCAAGCATTGTGTTATCAACAAGACTGCCACCGGCTATGGCTTTGCCGAACCTTACAACCTGTACAGCTCCCTGAAGGAGCTGGTGCTACATTACCAACACACCTCCCTTGTGCAGCACAATGACTCCCTCAACGTCACACTAGCATACCCGGTATATGCACAACAGAGGCGATGAAGCGCGCTGCTGCCCTCGGATCCAGTTCCTCACCTTCAAGCCACCCAAGGCCTCTGGGAAGCCAAGGGCTCCTCTCCAGCCCGACCTGTGAACTGAGCTGCAGAAATGAAGCCGGCTGTCTGCACATGGGACTAGAGCTTTCTTGGACAAAAAGAAGTCGGGGAAGACACGACAGCCTAGGGCTGTTGGATGACTAGACGTTTCTAACCTTATCCTTTCTCTTTTTTTTTTTTTTTAATTTAAAGCCACAACACACAGCCAACACACAGAGAAAAGGAAATGCAAAAAAAAAAAAAAAATCTCTCCGTGCAGGGACAAAGAGGCCTTTAACCATGGTGCTTGTTAACGCTTTCTGAAGCTTTACCAGCTACAAGTTGGAACTTTGGAGACCAGAAGGTAGACAGGGCTGAAGGGCCTGGGCCTGGAACCGCTTGGTCCAGCCTGGTTCAGCCTGGGTGTCGCTGGGTGTGGTGAGCCCAGACACATCGCGCTGTGGGTTATTTCCTTTTTAATGAGCGAACGATCTGGAGCAGAGAGGCAGGTCTGCTCACACAGGACACTTTGAGAGAATATCGATGCAGCATGTTCGGAGGAAAAACAAAAAGACCGGAAAATGTTTTGCTTAAAACTTGTCAAATCAACCACCACCCACCCACCAACAGAAAAATGAGTGTGGGCAAGGGGACTCGAAGTGACATTCAGTATATAAAATATGTACATAATATTGGGTGACTAACTATCAAATAGATGGATTTGTATCAATACCAAATAGCTTCTGTTTTGTTTTGCTGAAGGCTAAACGTGCTGCGCTATGCAATTCTTAATTTTTATTACATTGTTACCAGTTTCAAATACACCTTCAGAATAAGCTCCCCTCATCGCAGTTTTCGTTGCTTGAAAATATTGTCCCTCATTTTTGTTAATATTTGTTTTTGTTATTTTTTTTAAAGAAATGTACAGGATGCCAGAAAGGAAAATGGCTTAAGAATTAAAACTATGAAATATTTTACAGTTTTTCTTGTACAGAGTCCTTGGCTGTTAGCCCAAGGTTAAAAAGTTCATAACAGATTTTTTTTTTTTTTGACTAAATGTTGGGCAGGGCCTAATAAGCTTCAAAGCTGCTTTATTCAATAAAAATGAAAAAGAAAATGATATATGATATGACAAAGTATTGCTGAGTCCAACAGTGTTAAGACTCTTGAAATACGGTACCTGGCAATGTTTGTTTCCTAATGAATTGTGAACTTCTTGAATCTGGAGGGGAAGGGAGTCATGGGTTGTAACAGGTTGGGGGGGGGGGGGGCAGGAGCCGGGGGCAGGTAAGGTGGTGAGCACTTTCTCGGGATTCCAGAGGAGGGGAGAAGAATTGAAGCGGGGATGTGCTGTCTCCATCTTTCCCTGTCTGAATTTGGTAATCATTACCAATCAGCAGCAACTCCAGACCTATTGTGACTCCATTGCAGCGGAGCTGGCCAGCATCTCCATTCTCATGAAGGAAGTGCTGGGTTTGTTTTGGGGGTTCCTGGAACGTGCTCTTTTTATTGTTGTTGTTATTGTGGTTGAACACACTGGTCTCAAGGTTGAATCCCTGCATTTAGAAAATGTGCTCTTTCTCTTTTTAATATTGGACTAGTTACAGCAGCCGGCCACCATCCATTTTCAGCAAAAGCATGACCTGAAAAACAAGCCTTTTAGCTGTACATTTGTTGTTTTCCTAGCTCTCTGTTCACTTTAGAACAGAAAGGGAGTCGACCCATGTAGATGGTGACTGTGCTTTGTGGAAATTGTTAGAAGAAATACAAAAAGCAGTTTTCTCATTCACATCATTGTGCATGTTGTACTTCATGGTGAGGAGAGGAGCAGTTGGTGGCATCTTTAAGAGTTCGAGCCTACCCTGATGTACATGTGCAGAAGCTGGTGTGTTGATCGGGAATTGTCACGTGCTGTGAAGTGTGCAGGCTAACCAAAGTCACAGTCACAGCCCTGGTAGATTCAAGGGACATCTTCAGTTTCCCTTTCTCAGTATCAGATGCACAACTTGATTTCTCTTCCCTTCCTAGACTAAGGTGAAGGTATTTTGTGTCTTTTAGTGTTGCTGTTTTCATCTTTTGGAATTTGCAGCCTAGTGGCTGGGTTAATGGTCTGGAGAGGGTATTGTTTTTCTATGAAGCCACTGCTCATCCTCAAGAGCAAAAGTCACTCAGCCAGACTGTGAGCCCACAGACTTTACTCTTCTAACCTACCGTCCTTACTGCCAGACAATTGAGGATTTCCTGGGTTTCCTCTGGGCTTTGCAATCTCCATTGGTAACATTCTGCCATGCCACATAAGACTGAATAGTTAACAGTTGTAAGCTAGGTTTAGTGGTTGGGGTTTTCTTTCTTTTTCTTTCTTTTTCTTTCTTTTTCTTTCTTTTTCTTTCTTTCTTTCTTTCTTTCTTTCTTTCTTTCTTTCTTTCTTTCTTTCTTTCTTTCTTTCTTTCTTTCCTTCCTTCCTTCCTTCCTTCCTTCCTTCCTTCCTTCCTTCCTTCTATCTTTCTTTCCATTTTTCCTTCTTTCCATCTTTCCTTCTTTCTGTAGCACATCATGTATGCTATCAAACACAAGTAACTTCCTTTTCATTCTAAAAATGGAACTGAGATTGGCCATTTCATTACAAGTTCTGTGTTTTTTATTCAACACTCGGCAAGATGACTTGCAAAAAACGTCTCATCTCATGAACTGTGGTACAATAGATTTTCCATTCATCAGAAGGTCAAAGTCACTTGTTCTACACAGTAGTGAGCTATGTCACACCTGTCCTGCTGAATGCCTTTTTGATGACAGGTTAGTATGCCCACCAACTCTGTCCTTAGAGAAGTTTGATCATTAAGTTTCTGTGGATTCCATCAAGGCAGTCATCTAGTAGCATCCTTTAGGTAGCTCATGAGTGTAGATGGATACAGCACTCCTGATATGTAAAAATCCCCACATAGTTTTTTCTCACCAACTGTCACATCCTAAAGACAGCCAGACACTAAGCTGCTGAGAGGCTGAGCTGAACTATAGAAGTGAGAGGGTTGGGACCTCATATCCCACACCAGAGCAGTCATAACCACATGAAAAGGCAGCAAGAATATGTTTGCAACGTTTGACAACTTCACGGCCCTGGATATATGTATATATGTATATGTGCATGGACTGTGTTTCCAGGACACCTTTCAGCCACGCAGATCCACAGTCGAGTTCAAGTACATAACAAGCAGATGTCTAGTACAGGTCTTGTATATGTGTGTGGGTTGTTTTCCCTTTGATGTTGCTTTGTTTTGTCTTATAAAGGTGAAAATTGTTGGCCAATGAAGTGAGAAGTCCATCGTTGGACATTTTTTCTGTTTTGGAGCTATGCCCTTTCAGGGAGCAGGTCTGGAGGACTTGCTTACCTGACGTATCCTCGTTCTCAGTGTTGTCTAGTCAGAGTGTGTTTCTGTGAGCTGTCATTGTGAGGAAGCAATCGTTGTGTCATCTATCCGGTTGTGAACTAGTAACTTGTTTGGGAAGTCCTACTGATGTTCCTTATGGGGAGAAAGTTCCTGCTGGTTTTCCCAACTGTGCTTTGGCAATGCATGGTATCTAAGTCAGTTGGAAAGTGGGCTTTGCTGTCTGTTTGAATTTAGGGTCATTTAAGAAAGGGGCAGTTAAAAGCACAATGCCTCACATGGGACAAAGTTCCAAAATGCCAAATTCTCCTATTTTTTACAAAACTCTATAGTTACATAAAATAACTAGTACTGGGGGTTAGGGAGCAGGTGGCTCAATTGGACAGATTCTCCACCTTCACACTGAACTTGTCACCATGAGATAGCATTGGCTGCCCAGGATGCTGCTATTTAAGAAAATAAAAGCAAAACAAAATAAAAAAAAAAAAAACCCTCATTTATATGTGTGTATTTTTTAAAGCTACACTCTGTTAAATGTTTTTACAAATCTGTTTATATGACATTGATAAAATAAAGTTGGTCTTTTGACGAGAGGGGGGAGGATGTCATGGTCAGTTGTAATTCTGCCTTTACAAGGTAACTGGGGTGGGGGAGGGAGTGTGCCTCCTTGACATTTTGTTCAAGTTAGATTCAGTGAAGCTATGTACTGTTTTAAGTTGCTTAATGCGTTGTATTAGGTCCTCAAACAGAATAAAGGTTGTTTTGAAACTTCAGTTTCCATTTGAAATTTTAGTTTTCATCGGAGACATTTCTCAACTTCCACCAACTCATTTGTTTCATTACCCCAACTCAGTTTTATAAATAACAGAAAGGTACAGATTGGTCACTTGAATGTGCTCAATATTATTTATGTAGCATCTGAATGCTTTAATGGTAAAAATAAATACTTCTAGGTGATAGCATTTCTTTCTTTTTCTTTTTCTTTTCTTTTTTTTTTTTTTTTTTTTTTTTTTTTTTTGGTTTTTTGAGACAGGGTTTCTCTGTGTAGTATTGGTGCCTGTCCTGGATCTCACTCTGTAGCCCAGGCTGGCCTCAAACTCACAGAGATCCACCTGCCTCTGCCTCCTGAGTGCTGGGATTAAAGGCGTGTGCCACCACTGCCCAGCTGTGATAGCATTTCAAGGCATGGTCTTGCTATTAAAAAAAAAAAAAAGTCTCATTTTCTTCCATCTTTCCCATCCTCCACCCAACGTTAACAACGAGCTACTAGTACCTATGGTTTTTGACGGCTTCCGGTTTTGTCTTTTGTACACTGGATAACTTAAGCTCGTGGTACCAGAAGAGAATGCAGTGGTGTGACTTGAGGCTCTAATTAGGGCCAAGTTACTCCCTAATGCCAGTTTGCATGGCACCGCCTGCTCAAGAAGCAGCTCTTACTGTGAAATAACTTCCCCACCGACACTTCCTGCTAGTTGAACCTGTGACCATACTACTGCGTATGTATATATGTGGGTCCCATGTTTTATGTGTGAGCACAGTGAGGCTGCTAGAGAAGAAGACATGATCTAGGAGTAAGGGGGGAGAGAACCCACATTCACTGCCATGCCAACGATGGCTGGTGCATTAAGCATGGCGGCAGCTCTGAGGTTCGTGTCCTGTCTTGTTCTAGCTCTGTGCTATCATAGACCTCATTCCCTGGGTTTTCTCACCTCTGGTTTCCATGATCGCGTCCATGGCTGCAGCTTCTGCTGTAGGAATTGTCTCCTCAGGTGTCAATGCTATTCTATGCACTAGCTCTCAGACAAGGCTCTGGCCAAGTCTTCCAAAGGTCTGCAGCCTCATACCGCTTCTAACCCTCTGTTTTCTCAATATAGCCTCTTTGGTTTCTGAACCCTTTTATTATCTGCTGAGTAATTCTTCTCACTTAATTCTGCCTGTAAGGAGCATTGACATGCATTACCTAGTGGCAGGTATACATTCTGGAAGGTGAATGCCTGTATAATTTTGTCATTGTGTGAATATCATAGAGCGTGTTTCCATGCACCTAGCTGGCATAGCCTATTATCCTACACCTGGGCTGAACAGCTCGTACGTATGGGCTCCTAGGGCCCAAGTAGACTAAAAATGTGAGAATAGGTGAAGCACAATAGCAAATGGTACAATCGAGGCACATGAACTTGAATGTCTGGGGTCACTGCTGGCACTGGCGGAACAGCAAACTTTTACCGAAAACATTTTATAAGTAGGAATGCACTCTAAAATATATCAGCTACATAAGCCGATAGCAACTGTTGATTGTCAGGTCTCAGGTCCTGCCCAGGCTACGACTTTTCACACCAGCATGCATGGTAGGTTTGTTTGCATCAGCTTTCCCACAAGCATATGATAATAAGTTATGCTTGTGGGGGGAGGGGTGGGTTCCCAGATCCATTTAATCTTAGGGAGCCGCCATTATATCTGTGACCCAGAGTCGGCTGAGATGTCACTATGTGGCACAAGGCTATACTCTTTTCCTGACTGGTCTCTGACATACCAAGTAATTATTAAGCATTAAGCTCTCCCTATGCTTTATCCAAAGCAATCCCCCAACAATTATATATGAGTTAGAAGACATTACCCCTATTCTACAGATTGGAAAAGCCTAGGAAAAGGACATGACTTATTCAAGATCTTGCCACAAGTTAGATAGAACACAGAGTGCCAAGGTCATCTCACTCAAAGCCAAGGCACCCTCCCCACTCAGGATAGACTCTAAAGACTTCCCATGAAAAAAAAAAAATGCACAGAACAGTTCAAAGGGGTCACCAGTAACTTCCTGCTAGGGAGTGAACAATGTAACATACCTGGTAGACAGAACATGGTGGCCAATGATGAATGGCCTGAAATCACAGAATCTTGCTCAGAACACATCAGCGTCAGCATCCGCTGGTACTTTGTGGAAATGCCAACTCTCAGACCTCATCCCTCACTAGGTAACTCAAGAGTAGAGCTGTTACACTACCCAAGCAAACTCTGCAGACTATCTTCCTGGGTACACAGGGTTGAAAATGGCTACTTTATGTCACCTCTTCAGAGTACTTATAGTGTTTTCATCAAAAAGTATTAGCATGAATAAGTTCTAGAAATGTTACTTTGTGGTACAATGGCTGTTCATGGTACGGACCCCATAGGGAAAGGAAAACAGTCCAATTTGCAGAAGGATAGGCCCAGTTGGTCTTACTACTGACTCTAACCAGCTATAGGAACCTAGCCAACTCACATACCCATCCAGGCCTCTAGTTCCTTCTCTGTGGAAACAGTCTGAATCTTGAGCCTCTGTTTAGGATATAGAGAGGAAATTTGGTGAACCGAGAGAAACATCTCCACCCTTAACACGCCATTTACAATCTGACTACAACTGGAGCCCACAAGCATAACTGTTAACTACAGGGCTACGGTCAATTTGAATGTCTGTCAGCCCTTTGTATTGTCAACAAGACGGCGGAGGAAGAGCACTGCAGAACTGGACTCTGATAGTCTTGCTGACATCTTAAAAGCTATCCTTCAAGTGAACCCAAACTGGCAACTGAGTTCTTTACAGTATGTATGGAAGTATATTTCAAGATGACCTTTGACCACCTCCTGACAACAGGAGGCATGGAGAAGAGGCCTACCAAACCCTCTACACCAGTGGTTCTCAACCTTCCTAATGCTGTGACCTTTTAATACAGTTCCTCATGCTGTGGTGACCCCCAACTGTAGAATTATTTTTGTTGCTACTTCATATCTGTAATTTTGCTACTGTTATGAATAATAATGTAAATATCTGTGTTTTCTGATAGTATTAGGAGACCCCTGTGAAAGGGTTGTTTTAACTCCCAAAGGGGTCGTGACCCACAGGTTGAAAACTACTGCTCTGGGTTCTCGGTGGTTAAGTACAATCTTTTAAGACCTGATTGCTGAGCCCATTTTTTTTCAAACAAACAAACAAATGAAAAATTATTTTCTTAACCAGTTTCTGAAACCCTCTCTAGAAATAAGAATCTTGTGATACATTTGGCATAAATAGATATAATAGATTGTTTCCTACCCAAAGTTCAGATTATGCTTTCAAAAGATGCCACTTTGTATCCTCTAGCTGGGTATTGATATCATAAATCAGCCCAACAGAAAACTGCTGAGATGCTTTCAAAAGGGAAGAAAAAAGGATAAATGAGTAGCCACCAACACACGCTTGCTTATCTGCATTTGGCTCTCCAGGAGGAAATGGAGGAATCTTCTTCTCTCTACAGTACTCAATCACGACAGTCTAGTCTGAGCATGGCCTCGGGCTTAACTTGCTATTAAATAAAAAAACTCCAAGCTAGACCTGCCCTGACACATGTAAAGATCTGTCCCATAATATAAGGACAGGACAATGAACCTCCAAGACCACCACTCACTGCGTTAAGGACAGAGTGCCACGAGAGCTCCATCCATCACCAGGACGGCTCATTAAAATTGTAGCTGTGACTGAAAAATACACCATCCGTCGTATGGCTAGCCCACTGGAACCAATTTATTTATAGAGCTTTCATTTCAGAGCTCACTGATTTACTGTCCAAACCTCTGCAAACCAAAAAAATATGGAGAACTTTATCACAATGGAGAAAACGTACTGGTCACTTCATCTCGTGTCTGCTGTCATCTAGAGAGAGGCCCTGTACCACATGCTGTGTAGTTTTAAAGAGCTGCTAAAGACTCAATTTGTTCTTCCCTCTGGACTTAGGAGTTTAAAAGTTTGACAGTGCTTGTTATCCACTCAACAAAACTTCAGTGAGAGGGCTCCATCCAATGACGATGAAGGGAAATGACTGCCTTCAAAGAGGCCAGTCTTCTACTGGAGGCAAACTAGAATGACTGTCCTCTGTTGTTTGAAGATTTATAATAGTAATGAACAATTTGCTTCAAGATGGCCAAGGGAGAGAAAAGCAAAGCTTTACAGAGCAGGAGACACTTCAAATGTCACCTAGCAAAGAAAAGCGGGCCCACACACTCCTGGTGATGGCTTTACCCAGCCTGTATACTGTTGAGACACGAGTCACTGTATTTCTCCCGTTACCCTTCAGGTCATGCTAAGGGTTTTAAGTACTGTCAAAGGCATCATCTCCAGTATGAGTGTTGTGGTTTAAATGTGAACTGTCTCTTGTAGGTTCACATTGAGCAGTACCCTAGCTGGTGGTGCTGTTTTAGAAGGCTATGGAACCTTTAGGAGGTTGAGCCTTACTAGAGAAAGTTGGGTCCCTGGGCAGTAGGCCTTGAGATTTTTCTAGCCAGGTCCCATTTCCAGTCCACTGCTTCATGATTAGTGTGACCAGGTGCCTCATGACCCTGCTGTCATGCCTTCCTATCATGACAGGCTGCACCCCATCAAACTATTAAAACCTTCTCCTTCAATTGCTGCTTGTCAGCTGTTTGGTCATAGCAACAAGAAAAGCAGCAAATACAGCGAACTCTCTCCTAGAAACAATTGTCTTCATCTGTGGGTCCCATGTTGCAGGGGGGTCAGATGGCTGACATCACACAGCTCGACTCCAGGCTGGCCACTGTCCTCCCTACCCAGGGACAGCTGCCAAGCCTTCCTTGGCTCTTTTGCCTTGGCATATTAGAAGGGAGCTGCATTCAATTGCACATGCTCCTTCTGTTCTGGATGAGAAATCCTCACCCTTGCTGCACAATAGAGTCATTTAAGTCCCAATTTCATAGGACGCACCTGACTTATTAGTTTCTGGGGGAAGGCAAAAGTCAAACCACA